TAGAATTTGATTTAATTTGATTTTATTTAAAATAATTTATAAAATTTTTATAATTATTATTTTATTTCCTTCAATATTTTTTTTAGATTTAATTTTTATTTTTTTAATTAATTTTTGTTTCATTTGAGATTATTTTTTAAAATTTATTTTTTTACGATTTCATTTGTTTAAGGTTTTTTTCTTCTAATTTAATCTTCGTTATTTTATTTACTATGTTTTTTTATTTGAAATTTTTTATAGATTGATCTTTTTTTTTTATGATTTCATGATCCAAGATTTAATTTGTTAATAATTCAACTTCTTCATTAAGCATGAGTCTAGAATTTCAAGGATTATAAATTTAAAAAATTAACTCAGGTTTATAAATTTTGCTAGGTTTTTTTTTTTTTACAATCAAGTAATTATATGGGCTCTATCAAAATCTAGAACCAAATAAGTTCAAACAAGTGTGGATTAGGGATTAATCCAATTACAAGCAATGATTATTTATATGAAGAGCATCTATATAGTGTTTGAATTAAACTATAAAATCCAAATACAACACTAAACATAAGGTTTAAGGTTTAATTGAGTAATGGATTATAAATCCTAGATCGTGAAATTATAAGGAAGCAATAAATAAATTAAAAATTTGTAAATAAAGCACGTAAATAAAACTATAAAAAGATTGTAAAGAAAATATGTATTTGACAATAAAATGTAAGCTAATTAAGAGATGAAATTAAATTGCAAAAGAAGAAGGGGAAGAAAAAGAAGATAAATTGCGGAGGAAACATGAGAAAACTTGTAATTAATACAGGTTGGACCAAAGAATTATAATTAATGAGAAAGTTCTTTCTAAATACTGATTTTAAGAACAAGACTACTAGTTCTACAAGAAAGGATAAAAAACATCCAGTCTTGAAGTCAGTTTCTAACTAGAAAATCTTTAATTAAGATAATTTGTAGCATCCAAGTAAAACAAATAAACTAAAGTTAAAAGGGTTTTGAATCAATATACAATTAATAAACAAGAAGATCTTGTGCACATGGATGAATAAAAAGATTTCTAGCTAGTTTATCACAAGATCATCACAATCCATTTATTTAAAAATTAAGGTCTTGTTTATTTGGTGAAAAATAGTTTTTTAAAAAGTATTTTTTAAATTTTCTTATGTTTGTTTATTATTAAAAAAATTAACTAATAAAAAATATTTTTCAATCAAAGAAAAATTTAGCGTGGTTTCTAGAAAAGTGTTTTCCTTTTATTTTGAACGGAAAATATTTTTTAGAAATTATGAAAATTTTAGAAATATCATATTATTTATTGATTATAATAAATTTGATAATTAAACTTTTAATTGCTATATATTTTATTTTGAATCTTTTTTTCTTTCAATTTCATCTTTTAGAATTTGTTTTAATTTTATTTTTATATTAACTTTGGTCCTTATTTTTATGATTTTTATTTATTTTTTTTTATTAATTAAAATTTTTTATCTATCAAATTTGGTCCTTATTCTTTTGATTGTTACTTATTTTATTTGAAATAATTTATAAAATTATAATTATAATTATTATAAGTTTTTTATGTATTAGATTTGATCCCCATTAGTTTGATTGTTATTTATTTTATTTGAGATAATTTATGAAATTAGACTTTTTTTTTTAATTTCATTCTTATTCAACTTTTAAATTTGTAAGATTTGTTTCTTATTATATTTATACACTTGAAAAAATATTAATAAGTTATTTTCCAGCTTATTTTTCATAACATAACCAAACACTGTAAAGTATTTTTTAATTTATTTTTCATGATACTAGCAAAAATTGAAAAATAATTTACTTTCTAGGAATCTATTTTTTAAAAGAAAACTATTTTCCAGCAAATAAACAATATATAAGAATATTGGTTATGTCTAACATTGGCAAAGGTAATAATCTTCTCTATCTGGATCATGCCAAGTGCTAGCTATTGATTGGACAATTCAATAACACGATGTTTATTGTTTGATTTTTTTTATTTGAGTATCAATTAAATCATAATACAGCATCACCATTAAAAATTATTAAAAATATGTTTGGGAGTGTAGTCGAATAATATTTTTCAAAAATTTTAAATTTTATTTTATTTTATTTTATTAAAAATAATTAATTTAATATATTTTTTAAATAAAAACACTTTAAAATACAATAACTATCATATTTTTAACATGTTTTAAATCCATGTTTTAACAACACCACATCTATTATAGAAATAGAACACCATTTCTTTTTAGTAAAATCTACCATTAAAGGGAATTTGTGACGAGAGATTAGATAAAGGCAATTTTTTTTGTTTTGAAATTTGGAGGGATTCGGTATTTTGAAAAGGAAAGAGAGTGTGTGGCACTTTGGGTCTTTTAAAAAGTTTAGTAGGTAAATACTTATTTAACATTGATTACATGCCTATTTAAAGAATTTCTCAGACTAGAATAATTAATTAATTCATTTTAATTAACTTAAGATAAAGTAACACAAATCTTCAAAATTTTACTATTTATAAGTTTTTATCCACCTCCTCTTAAATTAAAAATTAACTTTGTTTTTTTTTTATTAACTTAAGATAAAAAAAAATTAACTTTGTTTGAGTAAGGTGCATAAGATTAACATCCTAAACTATTTTCTAATCACTTAAAAAATCTCAAATGATACTAAATATCAGCCATTTAAGAGTGTTTGTTTTGAATAAAATATTTAATAAAAATTTATTTTATATTTTTTGTGTTTGTTTTCTGTAAAATATTTAATAGAAAAATTGATCACTATAAAATATTTTATAATTAACTTATAAACTTAATTCAATTTATTAAAAAATATTTTCAACTCATAAAATTTCATAAAATACTTTATAATTAATATTTAGCTTACAATATAATTAAACTATTTTAACAACCATCAAACCGTCTCATTGTTATTGTCACCATCATTTTCATCATTATTATCTTTAAATTATTATATTTTTACATTATTATTTACCAAGCACTGAAATATTTTTATATGTGTGAATGATATTTTGTGCAGAACAAAACCCCTCTTTTAACCTTTTTCTTTTTAATTTTGATTTTTTTATATCATAACCTTTCATTTTTATCCAAACATATTTTTAATAAAAATCTAAATTTTAGTAGCTAAGGCTTGTCTTTTCTTTGAAGTGGATGATACCATTTTTGCTAACAGGATTGATACATGAGAAAGGTTTTTCCTATGAAAAAGAAGTCGAGGGCAACATTTATTTTTATGGTCTAATCATTTTTTTTCTTTCTCATTCCATCCTTTGTGTTTAATATTTTTCTATCAACTTTGTGTTTTCCTATTCTTCTTAATGAATTTCTATTATTTTTTTCTTTTTTAATGAAATGTTTCGCAATATATTAGCTTCCGCTTTTTAAATTATTTATTTTTTTAATTGAAAAAATATTAAAATGATATTTATATATATATATATTGATGATTTTAATATGATAATATAAAAACTAAATTAAAATAATTATTTTAATATATTTTTAATTAAAATAAACACTTTAAAAATATCACTTACCAAATCACCCAATACAAAAGAAGAATATGAATTCATGTCATCAAGGCATTATAGAGTGTCATGTCATTAGGGAATTCATTGTAACATGGACTGTACTGGGAGCATTACAAGACAAACCAATAGATGCCATGAAAATGTCAGCTTTCGTGGTTGGAATGTCTTTTCCCACTCTTCTTTTCACATAATTATTGATGGCTGGAAATGGAATGACAAATAGTAGCTTTCATTCATAGCTTTTTTATGTGATGAAGTGAAGGTCTGATTGGATGCTGGACTAGAAAACAATTCGTCAGTGCGTACTTCGTTGTTCTTCTGGTGGGTTTACTTTTTTTAAGCCATCACGGGTTGTAATGATGGGAATTATGACTTATATTGTACCTCAGCCCCTTTAAAATAACTACTACTT